TTACACGTGTATTTAGATTAAATTTTTAATTTATATGTTTTAAATTTAGCAACGTCAGGATGGCCGAGTGGTCTAAGGCGCTGCGTTCAGGTCGCAGTCCACTTCTTGTGGGCGTGGGTTCGAATCCCACTTTTGACAAGTTCTGTTTTATAATTTTCGGTAAGTTTCTAAGAATGTTCATAGTTGTTTAACGTTTCAGAATTAGTTCTCAAATTACGCAGGTGGAATTTTACAGAAAATCTATGATTTCGTGGTTCCCCGTTTCTTCTTTCACAGATACTAACAAATTCATTTTAAAGAATTCCGGTTCAATAAAATTTCGAGTTACACGTGTATTTAGATTAAATTTTTAATTTATATGTTTTAAATTTAGCAACGTCAGGATGGCCGAGTGGTCTAAGGCGCTGCGTTCAGGTCGCAGTCCACTTCTTGGGCGTGGGTTCGAATCCCACTTCTGTTCCCCGTTTCTTTTTCAGACAAGTTCTGTTTTATAATTTTCGTAATTTTTTATAATTTTCGGTAAGTTTCTAAGAATGTTCATAGTTGTTTAACGTTTCAGAATTAGTTCTCAAATTACGCAGGTGGAATTTTTACAGAAAATCTATGATTTCGTGGTTCCCGTTTCTTCTTTCACAGATACTAACAAATTCATTTTAAAGAATTCCGGTTCAATAAAATTTCGAGTTACACGTGTATTTAGATTAAATTTTTAATTTATATGTTTTAAATTTAGCAACGTCAGGATGGCCGAGTGGTCTAAGGCGCTGCGTTCAGGTCGCAGTCCACTTCTTGTGGGCGTGGGTTCGAATCCCACTTCTGACAAGTTCTGTTTTATAATTTTCGGTAAGTTTCTAAGAATGTTCATAGTTGTTTAACGTTTCAGAATCAGTTCTCAAATTACGCAGGTGTAATTTTACAGAAAATCTATGATTTTGTGGTTCCCCGTTTCTTCTTTCACAGATTCGTGGTTCCCGTTTCTTCTTTCACAGATACTAACAAATTCATTTTAAAAGTTCAAGTTTCAATCAAATTACGCAATTTTTCTAAGAATTCCGAGTTCTCAAATTACGCAGGTGGAATTTTTATGATTTCGTGGTTCCCGTTTCTTTTCACAGATACTAACAAATTCATTTTTAAAGAATTCCGGTTCAAAAAAATTTCGAGTTACACGTGTATTTAGATTAAATTTTTACAAATTTATATGTTTTAAATTTAGCAACGTCAGGATGGCCGAGTGGTCTAAGGCGCTGCGTTCAGGTCGCAGTCCACTTCTTTGGGCGTGGGTTCGAATCCCACTTTGACAAGTTCTGTTTTATAATTTTCGGTAAGTTTCTAAGAATGTTCATAGTTGTTTAACGTTTCAGAATTAGTTCTCAAATTACGCAGGTGGAATTTTTACAGAAAATCTATGATTTCGTGGTTCCCCGTTTCTTCTTTCACAGATACTAACAAATTCATTTTAAAGAATTCCGGTTCAATAAAATTTCGAGTTACACGTGTATTTAGATTAAATTTTTAATTTATATGTTTTAAATTTAGCAACGTCAGGATGGCCGAGTGGTCTAAGGCGCTGCGTTCAGGTCGCAGTCCACTTCTTGTGGGCGTGGGTTCGAATCCCACTTTTGACAAGTTCTGTTTTATAATTTTCGGTAAGTTTCTAAGAATGTTCATAGTTGTTTAACGTTTCAGAATTAGTTCTCAAATTACGCAGGTGTAATTTTCACAGAAAATCTATGATTTCGTGGTTCCCCGTTTCTTCTTTCACAGATACTAACAAATTCATTTTAAAGAATTCCGGTTCAATAAAATTTCGAGTTACACGTGTATTTAGATTAAATTTTTAATTTATATTTTTTAAGGTGGAATTTTTAGCAACGTTCAGGATGGCCGAGTGGTCTAAGGCAAATTCATTTTAAAGTTCAGGTCGCAGTCCACTTCTTGTGGGCGTGGGTTCGAATCCCATCTTTTGACAAGTTCTGTTTTATAATTTTCGGTAAGTTTCTAAGAATGTTCATAGTTGTTTAACGTTTCAGAATTAGTTCTCAAATTACGCAGGTGGAATTTTTACAGAAAATCTATGATTTCGTGGTTTCCCGTTTCTTCTTTCACAGATACTAACAAATTCATTTTAAAGAATTCCGGTTCAATAAAATTTCGAGTTTACACGTGTATTTAGATTAAATTTTTAATTTATATGTTTTAAATTTAGCAACGTCAGGATGGCCGAGTGGTCTAAGGCGCTGCGTTCAGGTCGCAGTCCACTTCTTGTGGGCGTGGGTTCGAATCCCACTTCTGACAAGTTCTGTGTTTTATAATTTTCGGTAAGTTTCTAAGAATGTTCATAGTTGTTTAACGTTTCAGAATTAGTTCTCAAATTACGCAGGTGGAATTTTCACAGAAAATCTATGATTTCGTGGTTCCCGTTTCTTCTTTCACAGATACTAACAAATTCATTTTAAAGAATTCCGGTTCAATTTTTAAAATATGATTTCGAGTTACACGTGTATTTAGATTAAATTTTTAATTTTCAATAAAATTTTTAGATTAAATTTTTAATGCGTTATTGTTTTGATTTTTTGGGTTCGAATTTAGTTGACAACGTCAGGATGGCCGAGTGGTCTAAGGCGCTGCGTTCAGATACTAACAAATTCATTTTCGCAGTCCACATCTTGTGGGCGTGGGCGTGGGTTCGAATCCCACTTTTGACAAGTTCTGTTTTATAATTTTCGGTAAGTTTCTAAGAATGTTCATAGTTGTTTAACGTTTCAGAATTAGTTCTCAAATTACGCAGGTGTAATTTTCACAGAAATTCATTTTCTATGATTTCGTGGTTCCCGTTTCTTCAGATTCACAGATACTAACAAATTCATTTTAAAGAATTCTAAGAATGTTCGGTTCAATAAAATTACGCAGGTGGAATTTTTCGAGTTTCCCCGTTTCTTCTTTCACAGTGTATTTAGATTAAATTTTTAATTTATTTATATGTTTTAAATTTAGCAACGTCAGGATGGCCGAGTGGTCTAAGCGCGCTGCGTTCAGGTCGCAGTCCACTTCTTGTGGGCGTGGGTTCGAATCCCACTTCTGACAAGTTCTGTTTTATAATTTTCGGTAAGATTCTAAGAATGTTCATTAGTTGTTTAACGTTTCAGAATTAGTTCTCAAAATTACGCAGAAATAATTTTTACAGAAAATCTATGATTTCGTGGTTCAGTAATTTCTTCTTTCACTTCTTTCACAGATACTAACAAATTCATTTTAAAGAATTCCGGTTCAATAAAATTTCGAGTTACACGTGTATTTAGATTAAATTTTTAATTTATATGTTTTAAATTTAAACGTCAGGATTTGACAACGTTCAGGATGGTCCGAGTGCGTGGGTTCTAATGCGCGGTAAGTTTCTAAGAATGTTCATAGTTGTTTAACGTCAGAATCAGTTCTCAAATGACGCAGGTTCATTTTGAAAATCTATGATGTCGTGGTTCCCCGAAGATACACAAATTTTTGACAAAGTTCTGTTTTATAATTTTCGGTAAGATTCTAAGAATGTTCATAGTTGTTTAACGTTTCAGAATTAGTTCTCAAATTACGCAGGTGGAATTTTTACAGAAAAGCTATGATTTCGTGGTTCCCGTTTCTTCTTTCACAGATACTAACAAATTCATTTTAAAGAATTCCGGTTCAATAAAATTTCGAGTTACACGTGTATTTAGATTAAATTTTTAATTTATATGTTTTAAATTTAGCAACGTCAGGATGGCCGAGTGGTCTAAGGCGCTGCGTTCAGGTCGCAGTCCACTTCTTGTGGGCGGTGGGTTCGAATTCATCTTTTGACAAGTTCTGTTTTATAATTTTCGGTAAGATTCTAAGAATGTTCATAGTTATTTAACGTTTCAGAATTAGTTCTCAAATTACGCAGGTGAAATTTTTACAGAAAATCTATGATTTCGTGGTTCCCGTTTCTTCTTTCACAGATACTAACAAATTCATTTTAAAGAATTCCGGTTCAATAAAATTTTCGAGTTACACGTGTATTTAGATTAAATTTTTGATTTTTATGTTGGATCTTTGACAACGTTAAGGATGGCCGAGTGGTCTAAGGCGCTGCGATTCAGGTCGCAGTCCATCTTGTGGGTTGGTTCAATTCATCTTTTGACAAATTGTGTTTTATAATTTTCGGTAAGATTCTTTTTAGTTTTTGTATTTGATCTTTGACAACGTCAGTATTATCGAGTGCCCTAATGCGCGGCGATTAAGTTGCGCCTTACAGAATTCTTTCGGAAATTACGTTGGAATTATAGATTTAGAAAAGATCGTGCGTCTGTAATTCTCCGTATCTGTAGACATAAATACTGAGAAATTTTATTTTAAAAATGTCCTGTTAAAAGTTATTTTGAGTTATATGTGTATTTTGATATAGTTTTCAATATATATATTTAAATTTTTAAAAAGTCAGTTTGACCCATTTAAGGTACAGGAGCATTTTAGAGGCAGCTTACTAATATAAAATTCTAATTTATAATTTTCCGTCTGTGTATCACGATAAAAAATAACGTTTAGACATTCAGAATTCTTTCGAAATTACGTTGGAATTATAGATTTAGAAAGACCATGCGTCTGTAATTCTCTGTATTTGTAGATGTAAATACTGAGAAATTTTATTTCAAAAATGTCCTGTTAAAAGTAATTTTGAATTATATGTGTATTTTGATATATTTTCAATTTATATATTTAAATTTTTAAAAAGTCCGTTTGGCCCATTTAAGGTTCCGCGCATTTTAGAGGCAGCTTACTAATATAAAATTCATAATTTATATTTTTTCGTGTGTATCACAATAAAAAATAACGTTTAGACATTCAGAATTCTTTCGGAAATTACGTTGGAATTATATATTTAGAAAGACCGTGCGTCTGTAATTCTCCGTATCTGCAGATATAAATACGAAAAAATTTTATTTTAAAAATGTCCTGTTAAAGATAGTTTTGAATTATATGTGTATTTTGATATAGTTTCCAAATATATATTTAAATTTTTAAAAGTGAGGCAGGCGGAGTTACGGCGCTGCGTTGAAGTTCGCGGTCCACTAATAAATAATTCATGATTGCATACTTTCCGTATTCGTCTTAGAACAAAAAAGTAATATTTAGATTGTCAGAATTTATTGCAATTTAAGTTAGCATTATAGATTTAGAAAGACCCTAAATTTGAAATTCTCCGTAAATGCAGACATAGTTACAATGAAATTTTATTTTAAAAATGTCCTGTTTAAGATAATTTTGAATTATATGAGTGTTTTGACTCAGTTTTAACTATATATATTTATTTTTAAATTTATATATTATTTCAGTTTGGCATTCGCAATCCACTAATGGGAAATTTATAATTAATAATTTTTCTTGTGCGTATCACTATAAAAAATGACGTTTCACTTTCAGAATTTTCAGAACTTACGTTGGTGTAATAACTACACGAAGGCCATAGGTTCGTAATTCTCCGTAGGTGGGAATGCAGATACTAACAAATTGTATTTTAAAAATGTCCTGTATTTTTACTCAGTTTTGAATATATATTTAAATTTTTAAAAAGTCAGTTTATCCGAGTTAAGGCCCTCCGTTGAAGCCGCAGTCCACTATCCGCAAATTCATGATTCAGACTTTTCGTAAACGTCTCTCAGAATAAAAAATAAAGTTGAATTTCAGTTTTTTTTTCGCAAAATACGTTGGTATAATAGATTTAGAAAGACCGTACGTTGGCATAATAGTTACAGGAAATCCGTACGTTTGTGATAACTCCATAGTTCCATATATATATATATATTTTTTTTTTTTTTTTTTATTCGTACATTACGTTGGAATAATAGATTTAGAAAGACCATACATTTATAATTCTCCGTATCTGCAGATATAAATACTGAGAAATTTTATTTTAAAAATGTCCTGTTATAAATAATTTTGAATTATATGCGTATTTTTACTGAGTTTTCAATTTATATATATTTAAATTTCAAAAAAGACAGGTAGGTGAAGTTAAGACGCGGGACTTGAAGTGACTTCCATTAATAAACAGCTCAGGATTCATAAATTCCGAATACGCATCAGAATAATAAATAAAAATTTCAGATTTTTCGCAAAATATGTTGGCATAATAGTTATAGGGAGGCCGTACGTTTGTAATTCTCCGTAGCTGCATATATAAATGCTGAGAAAAGTTTCTTTCGAGTTATAAGTATATTTAGTTTGAATTTTTAAAATAAATATTAGAAATTCAACTCCATCAGGAGTGATGTAAGGCGCTGCTCTCAGGTCGCAATCCATTTTTTGTGGGCGTGGGTTAGGAATCCAACTTATGACATATTGTCAATTTTTAAAAAGTCAATTTGGCCATGTTAAGGCTCTGCGTAAAAAACATATTGTCAATTTTTAAAAAGTTTACTAATAAAAATTGATGATTTATACATTCTGTATGCGTCTCAGAATAAAAATTACTGTTTAGACTTTCGGAATTTTTTCACAAATTAAGTTGGAAAAATAGCTGTAGGGAAGACGGTACGTTTGTAATTCTCCGTAGTTGCAGATTTGGATACTAAGAGATTGTATTTTAAAAATGTTTTATTAAAGATAATTTTGTATTGCATGTGTATTTTCACTCAGTTTTCAATATACGTATATACATTTAAATTTTAACAAATTTAGGTTAGTCCTGGGATGGGCAAACTCTTTCAGTCGAGGGCCAAAAATCGAAAAAAAAAAAAAAAAAAGTTCGGCGTGCTAAGATAAATTTTTCTAAAATTTTAAAAACAATATATAAGTATTACAATTTAAATGTGTTAATGAAATGAATGAAATTGTGATTTCATTTTTAAAAATTCCTTATAGTGAGGTTCGAAGTGAGATGTGCCGTTTCGAAGGAACGAGGCTAAATGCTCATCTGTCAGTCTACTTCTGAAATAATTCTTTCTAAGGTTCATAGTTGAAAACACTTGTTCGTATCTATAAGATGAAGCAAGCATAGCACTGATTTTCTGGGCGTGAGATATTCAATTTGGGAAACTTACTTTCGATTATGATTTGTAATACTGTTCAACTTTTTGTAATATTGTTGATTCGTATTATTGTTCAACTTTGGCATATTTATAAACAACTTCTTGAGATGATTGTTAGATTGCAACTCAATTCATTCAACCTGCAAATCTGACCAAACTGCTTCACAATTTACGTTGAAAAGCATGGTAAAAATATCCAGTTCTGTTTGAATGGCACTGAAATCTGCGTTCGAACTCGAAATGCAGTTTCCTCAAGCCATCTCCGTAATTCTTAAGCTTCTCTTCATTTACTGAGGGTATTGAATTTAACCTCGGGAAACGAGACAAGACGTTCTTAGCTAGCTGCCCAAAGATAATTAGTCCTTTGAAAACAAGAAGAAGAAAAAAAGAATATTTAATCAAAGTAGAAAAGGAGATGGATATATAATATATAACTATATATTTCTTTTGATTTGCCTCGGACCGGCAAATTGAAATTCTATCCGCGGGCCGGATAGAACCTTCCGGCGGGCCGTAGTTTGCCCATCCCTGGGTTAGCCGATTGATGGTCCACCGTCGACGACGCAGTCCACTCTCGGCAAATTCATGATTCGTCCTTTTCGTATGCGTCTCAGAAGAAAAACTAAAGTTCAGACTTTCGGAATTTTACCGCAAATTACGTTGGAATAATATTTATAGGAATACCGTACGTTTGTGATAACTCCGTAATTAAAGTTATAGATACTATGAAATTGTATTTTAAAAATGTCCTGTTCAAGATAGTTTTGTATTATATGTGTATTTTTGACGCAGTTTTAAACATTTATATTTAAATTTTTAAAAGGTTTGTTTGGCCGAGTAAGGCTCTGCGTTAAAGACGCAGTTCGATAATAAAAAATTCTTCATTTTTAATTTTTCGTATAAGTATCAGAAAAAAATTGTCCGTTACACTTTTAGAATTATCCGAAATTACGTTGATATAATAGCTATAGGAAGGTCGTACGTTTGCAATGTAATTGCAGATATAGATACAATGAAATTGTATTTTACAAATGTCGCATTCAAGAT